CCTTGATTTGCATAAACTCAGTTGTAAACGTAGTAGGCTACGAATATTCGTCTATGCGAAATTATAATAAATAACTATAAATTAATATTTAGTACCTAAACACGATTAACATTAATTTATATTATGCTCTAAATGAACATCTTTCTCTGGGCAATAATGAATATAAATAAAACAATTGGACAAGTCCGAGTCTGAATAGCACACCGAAGGTTCCGTAGCATGAATTATAAAATAAGTTTAAAATCGCAAAAAATATATATAGATATATTATATAAAATATAAAAATATATAATCTTTTTGAGATAAGGTACCCTAAAGAATAGAATAGAATAAATAATAATTCATAAAAGCCGAGTCTCGCACCTCTGATATTTTCATGTGCGAATCATTTCTAATATGATTACCACTTGCCTTATGGTGAAAGAAAACATCTTGAGGAAACCTGCATGTTCGAGATATCCTAGCAAGTTTTCAAAAGACATGTGAAGTCCGCCAACCCGCTCTTGGCCAGCGTGGTGAACTATGGCCTTATCTCCTTCGTATTGAAGGAAGGCCCATGCCCTGCAGTGGGACGTTAAAAAGGGCTGAATACAACAACATAAAAGGTAGATTCAATATATTATGTTACTAGTAGTACCCGCGGCTACGCCCGCGTCCAAATTTATATGTGTCCATAGAAAACATACATCCGCACGTCGATTTTGATTTTATTTAATCAACAATTTAAATTTATTTATTGCTCGAAAAATGAACTCTTTTATGAAAATTTAGTGACACGCCGACTGCAGCACCACCTACCGGATCCTTTTATGAATTCAAACCTTGCAGGGTACCCACTCGTACATACACAAAAAATTTCATTAAAATCGTCCCTGCCGCTTAGGAGATGATCAGTGACACACTGATTGCAGCGCCGCCTACTGGGTCCTTTTGTGTTTTCAAACCATCCAGGAGCCCATTGAAATATACACACAAAATTTCATCCAAACTGGTCCAGTCCTTTAGGAGGAGTAGGTTAACAAGTACACGTACAGAAGAATAGTATAGTATATTAAGATGATAACTTACATACTGCAATAAGTCACTATTATTGAAACGAGATTTCAAATAGGTCTACTATCACAGTAAGCGTACAGAAATTACCCATGAATACCACCTTGGTAATCGTTTATCGAAATCCCATTCGCAAATTACCAAGGCATCAGTTACAACATCGCATGTCTCAATAGGTACTTATTACTGAAATTGGATTCCGCATTGTTCAAACCAGACCGTATTCGTGATCGTATTTATCTTGTACTATATTACTAAATCCAATCAAGTTACGAAATTAATCATTTGTTCAGATTTGTTAGCTTGGTGTGGAGATGTGACGTCTTATTCACATATCACACATTTATTCTCATAACTTATTAGTTATTTTCTACAGAAGAGATTATCTTACTATATATATGCGAAAGTTTGGATGAGTGGATGTGTGCTACTCAATCACACCAGAATGGCTGAACGGATCTGGATGAAATTTGGAACAGAGATACATTATAGTCTGTACAAAAAATGCTTTTTATTCCGGAAAAATGTATGGTTCCCGTGGCATAGATTTGTTTTTATTTTTCACTAGCCATGAACTCGAGCGAAGCGAGGGTGAGCCACTGCCTATTAATAAAAATAATGTTCTCGTATCAAAGAGTTACGTTGATTTCGAAATCAGCCACATTTCAATCACCGCGGCCAATCTCACTGAGACTAGTCATTTGCGTAGGATATAAGAAGGGCGTTCATAATCGAACGAAAAAAGTTAATAAGTACTGGCTGGTAATGCTGAAATATCCATTAGATTTTAAAAAAGAAAATAATTTCAATATCTTTTGTTTTTAAAAACTGAAGTCTTTTGTTTTCAGTCTGTCGTAATATGTTATGGTTATTAAGTATCTGTGCTTAAAAAATTTCACTATGGAACGAGTTACTCTAAACTTACAGGATACTTTAGAAGCAAATGTTTCAGCGTATTCTGCAGTTGCACGTCGGTGCACCGTATTTAAGCATGGAAAAATATCCATCAAAGATGACTCTCGTTCAAGCCGCCCCACCCTGCCTGCCTGCACCACGGTAGTGTCTGTAAAAATGGTCAAAAAAGTCGAAAAGATTGTTTTAGCAGATCGTCGTATCACGGTACGTTTTATGTATAGCCAAAGAAACAAAGATATCTACTGATAGTATGCATAGCATTTTACACGAACGCTTGGTTATGAAAAAAGTATCCGCACGCTGGGTCACCAGAATGTTTACAGATGCACAAAAGCAAACCAGGCTGAATATTTCTCGAGCTTCTTTGGAACTGTTACAACAAGATCCTGGTCGTTTTTTGTCTCGATTTATAATCATGAATGGGTCGTGGTTTCACCATTACGATCCCGAATCAAAATTACTGTCTATGACTTTAAATGTCTTTTCCGGGATAGTAAGAAGGTGGTTATGATAGGACATCTCGACTATGGAGCTATTGGTTCGAGCTCGAGAACGGCAAGGCAAACTAGCAAAAATTGTTTTGTTCCATCAAGATAATGACCCGGCTCACAGGTCCACTGTTGCTATAACTGCAATTCGAGATGCTGACTTCGAAATACTTGAGCATCCTCCATATTTACCCGACCTTGCCCCTGATGATTTCTATCTATTTCCAGATTTGAAAAGTTTCTGTGAGGACAGAAATTCAAAAATGATGAAGGTGTAGTCGCTGTAGTACAGGAATTTTTAGGTACTAAGGATGAAGAGTTTTTTAAGAAAGTAATTTTAAACTTAGAAAAAAGATATTAAACGGCGACTATATCGAAAAATAAAATAAAATTTAATAAAAATGACCAGCATTATACTCATTCTCACTTTGTATTGAACATCTATTATATTATAGTGTGCAAGTTTAGTAAAATCCGATAGGACAACAATTTGAGACGACCAGTGAGAGAGAGCGATTTGAAGTAGAAATAGCCAACCCAACTTCAAGCTGTTACTGAGAATTTCTTAGCAAAAACCCCAACTATTATACTCGGCCCGATTTGGATCTCAAACGTACGACCTTCAGATGCCGCACATGCTAGCCACTAGGCCAACGAGGCAGTTATTATGCAGATGCAGTTTAACTCTTACCTATTATGTACGTGAAATATAAAAATATATAATGTTAGTCTGTTTCACATTTATTGTAGACATTGAGATAAGTTCTAAAGGTATCATATTTATGTTTGTAACTTATTCCTCTTTTGGTTGATATTCAGATATTGCACGAGTCGCAGTTCTGAACATTACGTTTTGCCTTATTTGAAACTCGAACAGGTATCTAGTTAGTTATATTAAATAGTTAATATAATGGTTGTACAACAACGTAGAGAAAAACCTTTTCATTTTGTACTAGCCACCTACTCTGACTTTGCTTATGTGTAAAGTGTTATATACTTACTCATGCATATATGGAGAACATAATATATTGATGAAAACATACCCTCCATATAATTGTATTCAGACGAAAAAAATCTCAAACCATATTATGAGACTTGCGCTCCACCTATCGTATATAGAAATCTTCAGAACAGAAGTCCTTCGGAAGCACATTACGAACAGACAGATAGATACACAATATATCTAATGTAGATATAATCTTTATTACTACAGAATAATATAAAGAATAATTATTTTACATATAACATATATTTTTATTCTGAATACAACATTATCCGTGGAATAACCAAGCACCTATTAATTGTGGAGTGCTGTTAAAACGATACGAACGATACCCATTTCACGTTGCATTTCAGCTCTGATTGGACTGTTGCGATTCTCATCGTACAGAAGCGTCAGACCAAAGCAGTAAACTCGATTATTGTATGTTCCCAAACTCTGATTGAAGTGACTCTAAAATGAGTTTTACTAGATGGCACTTTAAAATATTTGTCATTAAATTATCTGTTTTGTACCATTGTAGAAACAAAAGTTTTAATTGGGTACTTCTTTACTAAAAAAGTTGTATTTTAAATTAACTTGTGCATCGTGAAATAAGTTAGCTATAATAGTGCAAAACTACATTGTATAACTTGTATAGTGGTAGATTTCATACTTTCTTAGATTTACGCGAATATTTGATATTATAAACAAAACTATCTTTTCGGATTTTATCGCGGATTTATTTGGATTTTTGGTTCCCGACGTTTCGAATGCTTTACAGCATTCATGGTCACGGGAGAGACTCTCCCGGAAAAAAATCCAAATAAATCCGCGAAAAAATCCGAAAAGATAGTTTTATTTATAATGGTATATTTAAGTTTCAATGAAGATATTCATTTTACCATTTAACCTCTACACTATAAATCGCTTTATCGCTATTGTACAGAGATTAACCAACAAACAATAGTCTTCCATTAATTTAGTACGTATCAGTATAATTTAGAACGGTAATGTTATTGTTCATTGTCAATAATCAGTTTATCTGATATTCCTATACCTATTAGGAATTTAGAAATTCAAAATATAGGTAAGTAGCATATAAGGTTATCATATTCGAATTTGTACCTTCAATTTCAATTGCCTTGTAATATGAACGAGTATTATGACTAACCAATCATAATCCTATGTACGTTGGAGCTACACTATTATGACAAAAGGTTTAGATTTGATTCCCACTCCTATAAAAGATATTTCTTGAACTCCCTGAGGCTAGAAATGATTCTCTGTATTTATTTTGTTTTGGAGTAGAAGAACCGTAACTAAGATAAAATAAAAAATAAACATATAAAACATAATTTAAGTTATAATATTGTATAAATTTAAATACGTATAAATAAATATGTTGGGACATTAACACACAGGACCATCTAATTTCATGGTAAGCTACGAGGCCTGTGTTATGGATACCAGACAGTTGATACACTACACATATATTATAATAATATATATAAATACATACATATCATAAATATTAATACTGCCTCGGTGGTGTAGTGGCTAGCATGTACGGCTACACACTCGGAGGTCCTGGGTTCGAGTCCCGGGTTGGGCCAAGTTTAGTCTCAGTAACAGCCCGGAGTTGGGAAGTTGGCGGTGTTTCACCCCCGTGCCTCGGAGAGCACGTAAAGCTGTCGGTCCTGCGCCTTAACTCTCACTGGTCGTGTCGAGTAGTCGTCGCACCGGAGTATGAGAGTGACAGGAATAGAGAGTGCACGTTGTGTCTGCGCGTACACTTGTGCACTATAATATCTCCTGCGCAGTTGGCTAGTCTCAATGAGATTAGCCGCCGTGGCCGGAATCGGCTAGGAGAACATCAAATATTAATGCCCATGGCTGGAGTACAAACATTCGTGCTCATTACACAAATGAATGCCCCCAGCGAAACTTGAATCCGCGACCGCTAACACGGCAATTAGAATCACTACAACTTGAGCCAAACGTGTCATCAAATTTGTCTAAAATTATAGTTATGTTATTTTATGAATGTAAACCCAAATATAATGCGAACAATATATAAGATCGAAATGTGTTATCAGAAACATTTAGAATGAAATTTATATACTGAGTTTTGAAATAGATTTTAACCTAAATTACTAGTATAGTATTATGTGATCTGTGATTTAATTATATATGTACATTGTATAATATGTTAATTATATATGTAATGTGTATTGTTGTGTGTCTAAGATTAGATTTGGCCTAATTATTTATTAAATTACGAATCTATCTACACCATCGAAGTAAATTACGAGCATTTTGATTATTCAATTTCAAAGTATTTCGGCTGTAACTACCTCAAACCGTATACAACTGTGAAACACAAATTGCTTAATATAATATGAAACAGTGTCCCATTGGGCTGCGATGTAATGTAATTACTCCCAACGTGAGTCTGCGTGCTGGTGTTTGCAACGGTAATGCGCTCTCTGATTGTGAACAATTGAGTTAACAGCGCTTCTAGATATCTTGCTACGTACCTATTGTGTTAAGTGAAGCAATATTGTAAAAGATTTATTTATAAAAGATTTATTTTTAAAATGGTAATCAAGGAAAATTGGTCAATCGATTCGAATATCATTTTTCATTTAATTAAGCTTAATACTTAGCTATGATTAAATCTGTTGATATTACATAATTATCAATTATTCTTTAGGGAAGGATGATTTCTTCTTCTGCTTCTTCTTATGTTAATAGGGGTTTGGCTTATCATGCTGTCTTCTTCTATTTCTCTATGTAAGCACTCATCTCACCATAATATACACCTTTCACAAATATATTCTCTTTCTAACTTTCCATCCATACCTCTACTTTTATGACACATGATACCTAATATCCTCTTACGATTTATAAACAAAAATTCAATCACACTTCATGACGCTTCTATCAGATGACAAACATCCAGTAAAATTTTTTTTTTAAATATTAATAGTCCAACAAAGTAATAGACATACATATACATATCTCGTACTATTATAAACTTTACTTTATATTGATTTCATAGTTTTAATATTAAATATATTCGCTCAGTAAATATGTAATTATATCGAAGTCATGCGGAAACATAACTATGAAATTTATCTTTGAAGGGACTTTGTAAATTCAACTTGCATTAATTTGGCAAATATTCAATGTAATAGTAATTCGTGCACTTATTATAAATTAGACAAGTATAAAATTTAAAAAAAAGCAAATAATATTTTGTTTGACGTTTAATATAACTATGGCTAGCGTACAAGTGTCGTTTGTATTTTAAGGCATAAAACAGAGCACGTTATACTCCCAATATTATTTAAAAAGGAACCTGCCAAGTTTATTTTATAATTCCTTCAAGTGATTTCAGATTTCACAAAGAATTTATAAATATATTATATTATAGTTTAGGTACTTACTTCATTCACTAAAAATATTTACTACTGAACATACGTTTTTAATCTAAATTATTTCAAATTTTATATAACACATAGGCTACTTTTTTATCCCGGAAAAATGTACGGTTCCCTTGGGATAGATTTGTTTTTGTTTTTCGAAGCGAGGGTGATCCGCTAGTTTGGTTATATTTCTTTTGTAAATAGAGTTTCAGTAAAAATGTCATCTCAAAACTATACAAATATTAAAAAAAATATCTTTGCAATTCCCTAATATTCTAGGAAAATATAAATAACGTGCCGTCTAAATGCTGAATAAAAGTGCCTGTATTCATTACTTAGTTGCAACGGTACCTGCGTGCAGATAAAAAATATAAATAACAGCTGCTGCTATGCTAACCCTATCTCCCTACAACTACATACAAAGCCTCAGGCCAAAAGTTCGTATATTTTATAGATTGGTATTCATCACTTTCTGACGTTTATGTAACATCAAAAAAGCAATTTTCTATCCCCTACGGGTTAGTTAGATAGAATACCAAACACTACACCCGAATGCAGCAATATTGGTATTTGATTGATTCTTCAAAGAACTAGACATATATTTAGGTATATGGAAATCTCCTGAGAAATACGTGAGAATTAAATTGGAACTTCTATTTCAGCTAACAGATAACTAAAAGAAGGTCATAATTTACATTTCGTATAATTTATTATTTTTCTATTGATGATATCTGTTATAGGAACTCAACTTTTCTAATGGGGCTAAGTGATATGAAATAGTTTATTATACTTAAAATTATTAAGTTTAAAATGTTTTGTTATAATATATTTGTATACTCGTACTGCTGGCAATACTCTTAACACACTGTCTAAATGTGGTATCGAAGACTTCACATGTCCTTAGTCAGGTTTCCTTAATTTCCTTCATATATATTATTTTTTGTAGACTTTCTAGTTCCATGGTAAGCTACGAGGCTTGCGTTATGAATTTTGGATATTTAATACACTACACATATATAACTTTAAATACATAAGTATTATAAATATAAACACCCATGACTGGAATACAAACATTCGTGCTCATCACACAAACGACTGTACACAGCAAGTAGGGTCACTACAAACTGATCCAAATATATCATCAAATTTGTATTATATACAGTATGAAAAAAGGTTAGATAATTAGGTTACTTTTCTATTCACTTGTCACTATACGATGTCACCAAAAATAGACTCTCATCTCCTAACACCAAAAATAAACCTCTTACATAAACCGAATTTAAGACCACGTAAATTATTCGCTTCTGTGTCCTCATGTCTCTGTCTCTCTCGGTTTCCAATACAAACATTTGATCGCGAAGATCTATTCTTACAAGCTTTTATTTAACTTGTAATGTTTGTTAGTTGGTATGTTTGTTTAGGTCAAATCTTCCAAGCTGAATTAGAATCGCTCGGTTCAGTTCCTATGACAATGAATTTTTATGACAATTATGATTTAATTCTCCATCTACATGGGATTGGCCCTAGACGAAGAAACGGTCAACAGTAGAAACATGCCATTTTATATAAATATTCAATTCAAGCATGGTTGTGTTTCATATTTTATTTTTTATTTTATTTATTTGGAAGACTTTTTAGATTATGTAACATTTATAAAACAAAAGAAATGAAAGAAAATACTCAAGTAATAATTCACTAAAACTAAATAAAGTCACACAGCACATAATATCATGTAGGTTGTATTATGTACCCTGCTTGAGATTGACCACCATAACCCAAATTTGGTTAGCAGGTTAGCAGTAGTGGCTGCGAAGTACTAGTTGTAATGAAAAATGAATATATGTATATACAAACTACATAAACCACCCTATTGGATAAATTAATTATTTTTATTTACACACAATTTTATTTGTTACAGAATGTGCAAGTTGGTGAACCAAGGACAGTATAAAGTGCGATCGATTATGTGATGTGAACAGTATGAGCAGGTGGTTGGCGATGGTGACACTGGTAGTGGTGGCGGGGGCGGTACGGGGATGGGACTGTGTGTGCAATCCTAGGGAATGTGAAGCGTTGGAGCCCAGTGGTTGCCCAGGTCTGGGCATGGTTGTGTGGGATCCGTGCAGGTGGGTAACACTTTTGTACTTAACACTTTCTTAGATTTACACGAATATTTGACATTTTAAACGAAACGATCTTTTCAAGTATAGGTATGTCGCGGTAAGAATGTTATGGTTGTATTATTACTTGCTATACTTTTAACTTTAGGTAGTTAAGAATATAAATGAATAGGATGTTTCTTGGGTAAAAATATAGTTATTAAATAAAGAAAAAATATATAAATCTTTGTTGAAATTTTAACTAATGTATATAGACTCAAATTATATGCACGCTAACTATCGTACATTGAGTTAAGTATAATAAAAAAAACGCAAATCACAAATAATAATTAAGGGGAATATATAGATAAACACACATTTTTATATACAAATAAATCAAATTGAAGTGTCAAGTGAATTGTATGTCAAAATAACAACTTTTTACTAAATGCTTATGAAATTATATACCTGTACGGTACTTATTTATATATTATATATAAGTACCGTATTATATATAATATATAAGTACCTTATATATTATATAAAAGTCAATAATTTTTAATTTTATTATCGAAATATATGATATGATTCACACATTCCGATAATAAAACTAAAAATTATTGACCAACTAGAAAAAGGTTAAGTCGGACCCAAACTATAGTTTACACCCATATATGGTGCGTTTTATTGCGATTTGCATACGTTACCCGATATCTTTGCCACTTGTTATTACCAATTTTCCTAATTCTTCTTTAATAAATACCTTAAAGTGAACCTATCATATTTTAATCGAAAAATATAAAGAAAATCCTACTCCAAAGCTACAATAACTACTTTTCAAGTCCTTTTGAAGATCGTATACCATTTTAGTTAAATAATGAAGAATAATTATTATTCACATTCCTTTAGACACAAAAAACTTTAAATTGCGCGCATAATATTACGAATAACAACTACTATGCTTAATAAAAACTCTAACTTAAGAGAGTACTTAACTTTAGTATTTAATGAGTTTCTCCCCTAGAGACTTTTATCGTCTTTATGAGTTGTTTCTTTGACCTTTATATTTCAAGACGTTGTTCATTATTTTTCATTTTTCTTTCATTAATGTAATAATTTGTATCAAATCTAATAAATTCCTAAATGTCATTAGTACAATTAACAATACAAATATTTATACAATATATAAAAATAATGTCCTTTCGACCGCTTTCGGCCACGGCGGTCAATCTTATTGAGACTATAGCCACCCGCGCAGGAGATATTATAGTGCACAAGTATACAAGTAGACACAAGTGATCTCTCATAGTGGGGCCAGTGGACTTTACGTGTTCTCCGAGGCACGGAGGTGAAACACCGCCAATTTTCCAACTCCGGGCTGTTACTGAGGCTTACTAAACAGAAAGACTCAATAAGTAAACTTGGCCCGACCTGGGATTCGAACCCAAGACCTTCAGATGTGCAGCCGTGCATGCTAGCCACTACACCACCGAGGCAGTTGAACATATAACATAACTAAATAAAATATATTTAAATAATATAAATAAATATTTTGGGACATTAACACACAGCACCATCTAGTTCTATATTAAGCTACGAGGCTTCTGTTATGGAAACAACATAATTGATACACTACACATATATAACTTTTAAATACATAGATATTATAAATACAAACACCCATGATTGGAGTACAATAATATATACAATTGGAATACAATAATGATTAGCTTCCTAGATACCTTTATACTAATATATATATATATATATATATTTATATATATATATATATATATATATATATATATATATACTATAATATTTATATATATATATATATATATATATATATATATATATATATATATATATATATATATATATATATATATATATATATATATATTAGTATAAAGGTATCTAGGAAGCTAATCATTAAACAGTTTTACGACACGTGACCCTACTTGCTGTGCCAGCGGTCGCGGGTTCTAGTCCCACTGAAGCATATGTTTGTGTGATAAGCACGAATTTTTGTACTCCAGTCATGGGTGTTTGTATTTATAATATCTATGTATTTAAAAGTTATATATGTGTAGTGTATCAATTATGTTGTTTCCATAACAGAAGCCTCGTAGCTTAATATAGAACTAGATGGTGCTGTGTGTTAATGTCCCAAAATATTTATTTATATTATTTAAATATATTTTATTTAGTTATGTTATGTTATATATATATATATATATATATATATATATATGTATCATATTATACGTAACGTGTTTTTCTGTGGGTAGGACGTATTTTACTGCAGTAAAAAGTAGCACATGTCACCTTTCAGCCCTCCTACTATCTCCACACAAATAATCACATCAATCCGTCGTTCCGTTTCGAATTGGAAGAGTCAAGAGGAAAATCAAACAAAATAACACACTTTCTTATTTATAGCATTATAATTAAGTTTCTTTTTACGTACTTATTTTTAGAGTTGATAAGTTTAATTTTAAGTTATACCAGACTAATAAGAAAAGCCTACAAATAATAACAATTGTTTTACATGAACGTAATTTTTTCAACATACTCAACATATAACATAGTTTCTATTGGAATCAGGACTCATTCACTATATGCTATATAATATATGTATATGTACATTTGTTCCAAAAAAAATCATATCTTAGAACATTACTTTAACCATAAATCCAAAAATATACGACATGGAAAATGAAAACGCGGAGTTTTTCTTTAAGATGATAAAATGTCAGCTTGGTTTTAGAGCTGTATTGCTCGTGTTATCGAACGATAATATAATCTTTCCCAAGATATAGGCTAAATTGCCTTACTGTGAAGTATCCATAAATCAATCTATTTTTATGGGTTAATAGCAGAATTTTGTTAGACAAATGGTCTTTATAAGATGGCGAATACTATATCTTTCTCTTTGAAACAGATTGAGAAAACTTATACATACATACTCTGTTTGATACCAATTATTATGATATCGCGTGCAGCTTCGCCAAACTTGGTATAATCTCGAACCGGTATTTTGGATATAGTAATACAAATAGCCATAATATGCTATCATAATATGAGTTTTTAAGCTTTCATGGTCGCTGATAATGTTATTATGGTGTAAAATAGGATATTCACCATGTTTGTCACATAATTTTACGAGTTCTTGATACTGCACTGTTATAAGCACCGTAGTCACGAATATTCTAGTCTCTGTGGATGGATGTTAAAATTTTAAAACATAGTAAATTATTCCGCTTTACATCTTAAAACATGTGCCACATTCAGCAAGAAGGCTGTTAATAATATTATAATAAATCACCTAACCCTATCAAGTCATGTAAATATACTCTCTAGACTCCTTATGACTGAATTATAAATTATAAATAAAAATAAATAAAATATTTTTAATTTATCAACCCATAAAATTCCAGAGTGGCACTTAGCTTAGGTATAAATATACTCCAATCAGTTCAGTTCAGTCCCACTTTATCACTCTTATTACTTCTAAGGGTATTTTTTTATAAAACACTACATTTTTCTACACCAATATTAAAATTTTATGCAAACGATATAAGAAACATCCCCCTTATACCGATACTTTGAAACTTTTTGTTATTAGTTCCCGGTATAGAGCAAGCCATTTACACAAAGTTGCTCTGTGAACTTCAAAATAAAAGTTGGAACTAATGAAATTACGTAGTCAGGTAAAACTTGTTATTTTAAACGTCTCCCGGAAAACATCTACGGAGTATTTCTTTTGATAAGTTCATTCGAAGTTATAACAAACGTGGGACAAAATTTTTAACAAGTAACGATGATTTTTTAACTTAAAACATTTGTGATAAAATTGTTTTTATAGTTAGCTTATTTAAAAAAAACGATAACAATTTAGTAATTTTATACACCACACATTTTGTAAAATGTACTAATATATTTATCATTTATATAAAGTACGGTAAAAATGTATCAATTACTGAATTAAAATAAAAAAAATAGTTATTTGCCCTTAGAGATAGTTATATGAAATCACAACTGCTGGCAGGAAAACCTGTTTGAATGGTTACGCTTATGCATTATTCGAATTTGCTGCCAATTTTAAAATCTTCAGAAAACCTTAAACTAACATCAAAAAAATTGTATATTGATTGAACAGGTATAAAAAATATTTTACAAAGTTAAATTTAATTTTCAAACTTTCGTTGAACTGAGTTATGAAATTAAACTTAAAAAAATGTAGAAAATAATATTCAAAATTATGTAATTTTGTGTATTTTCACAGGTGCTGTAAAGTGTGTGCAAGAACGCTTGGTGAGGACTGTGGCGGATTCCGGGGCACGTGTGAACCCGGCTTAAAATGTTTTGAAGGCTCATGTGCACCTATAACGTGAACCTATTAATTTTATTGTGACTTGTAATATATGTGTATAGCAATGTTAGAACATGAAACATATCTTCAACATAGCCAACGAAGGACCAGAGTAAAAGGTACGAAACCAAAATATAAGGTCAAAGGCAGACAATAAGTAATTCATTACAAATGAATTTTCGGGTTGACATAACGGCTACAATTTAGATGAACCTTTGATTATAATTGCTTTATTTAATTTATGATAAATTCATTTTTGTCTCACCGATATTTCAAACATAATTTGATTGTACATTTTCTGAGATGACTGTGCTTACTATTTAACTAAAAACGTATATATCAGATATCTTAAATATTATAAGCTTTCAATTTTCGTTAAGCAAATCTAAAGAGAATTGTAAATTATACTCGTAATCAAATATATTTAACGTGGGTACTGTAAAGTAAATAGACGTTTGCCAGTTCTTGATATAATTAAGTCCTGTTATTTGCTTACAGATCAAGTGGCTTACAAAAGTAAATGACACCCGATGCTAAGTTAAAATTTCCAGAAACCAAAAATTAATTTCTATTTAAAGGACTTGTTTAATTATATGATAAACATTTAATGTTTTCATCAAGAATTAAGTCAATAGTAGTCTTTATATGGCTAGAAAAAGTAATTTTTATATGGCTGTATTGAACACGTGTTTTATTTAAGTCCAAATATTTTATTTAGATTTAACATAATTTCGTTAGTTTCATACAGAAATATTAATTCCATAATTATGTATATCATTAATGTTCCATTGAATATTTATCTCAATTCTCGTATATATATATAAATATATTTAATAGATAGCAGCGCTTTTTTTCTACATGTCATTAACAGTTAAACGAATTAAAGTAGATTTACTTATATATGTCATAGCTTGAACTATAATAGAAAATGATATCAAAATCGGTTCAGCAATGGCCAATGTGTATGTACCTTGGAACAATTTTTCCGTAGTATTTCTTGGATCTCAAATTATTTTATAAAAATGTATAAAATTGTAATTGTATAATATGTATCTATAATTATTTCTGTGTGCTTCCAGGTTACGAGTAGACTTAAGTATAGTATATTCGATATTACTGTATGTTACTCCTAGGTCTGTAAATATTATCTGAATAGCATTTTTATCTTGTATTAAGAGTTTCCAGTAATATTCGTGTATTCGACTTACAATGAAATTGGATATTTTAATCAGTTGTTGTTTGGAAAAGCTATCACTATCGCAAATTGGATGTTTTCACGATTGTGAATCTTTAATGGATTAATTTTGTTTTCTACAATTAAATTGTATATAAATAATTAAAAAGAATGTTTCAAAGTCAAAAATGAATAATGTATCTAAGCAGCTTATAATGTATTTACTTATATTAATGTGGCAATATTTTAGTTTTCCCTTTGAAAAAATTTGACTTTTACTAGCCCCATCAGAATCAAACAGGCTAAAAATCTATAATTTCATCTCGGTTAGATATAATACTTTTGTCAACATTAAACTTTAGTATATGTAAACTTAATATTTAAAAAATATGATTTTTTAAGCAGGATTAGTTTATAAAATTAATATTCTGCCATATAAAAAAGTATTTTCAAGTTAAACGTGGAATATTATGCTTTTGTAAAAGTATTGTAACCCATAAACTCGTCTTAGAATAAAATGTATAAATAGCATATTTAAAGCTACTTGTTAATTGTGCACACATTGATAATTAAATAAGTTAAAAGAAAATTTATTGTGTATTATTTATATTTCAACCGCTTATTATTATATCGGCTATAATTTTTTTTCTTGACAGTTCATTAAGAATTCAGTTTATTTACTTTATAGTATTAATTTGTTTACATTTTGATTTTCGTGGATTATAATAACCAACTATCGACCTATTTTCGGTCCACTCATGCTCATCACTAGCAGACTAAAAGCCTATGCTTAACACAAAATCACAGTCTATATGTATATGAAAATTCATCCAATTCCGTTTAGCCATTTCAGCGTGAAAATATTACGAAATAGTAGTATGATTACACGGTTAGCTTCGTGATTTCATGCACAGTGCTTCATTTAGCGTATACAAATATTAAGTCCTATTAGTGCTACTAATATTATAAATGCAAAAGTATATGTAAGTTTATTTATAAGATGTATGCATGTTTGGATGTATGGATGCTTGTTACTCTTTCATGTAAAAGCTACTGAATGGATTTTAATAAAACTTTACAATAATATAGCTCATACATCAGAATGACACAGGCTACTTTTTATCCCGGAAAAATATAAGATTCCCGTGGGATAGATTTCTTTTGGCTTTTCTAGAGGCGAAACTGGACGAAGGAAGGGTGAGCCGTTAGTACTACATAATAATAGTGTTAGAATGAGAAAAAAATCAAGCGGTACTTAACTTTTATAACAAAAATAAGAGACGTAAATTTAGTATGCATTTGTAATGATTATTTTCTTAAAACTTTTCTTATTTCGCGTACGAATAAACCTAACCATTTCATTTACATGCGGAAATTAAAGAAGTTTGAACAAAATGTATAAGAATTTTATATTTCAAGTTACATAAGTACACTTTTATCAAACTGTTGGGTTCTTTATTAGTTTAAGTAAGCAAAATCGTTTTCTTTTTATTATTTTTTTAATCTCGTAGTAGGTATGAGAAAGTAATTATATTATACTATTATTGAATTGAATTGTAATTTTATTATTATACTAGCGACTGATCCTCACTTCGCTCGTGTGACGTGTTTCTAGATGCCTCACAGTAACCTATGCGTTACCCCAGATTAGTGGTGTAACTAACCTTTTTGGCCCAATGCAAAAAAAATGAAAGTGTCACCCTTTCCCTATTAAAATAAAAATGAAAAATTTAGGACACTTTTTTCTCGCGGTTTTTTAAATAAAATTCTATGAGGGTCGTCCTCAAAAAATGATTTGGAATAAAATAATCGTTTGTGGCGCGCAGGGGCCCTCTTGAATCAGGGGCTCCATGTGACTACATTGGTTGGTTTCGCATAGCTACGCCACTGCCCCAGATCACAGTCTGTGTACTAAGTTTAATTTCATCGAAACCGTCAAGCCATTTTATCGTAAAGGATAACAAACATACACACCTCACACATACAAACTTTCGCATTTAATAGTAGACCGACTTAAAATTCACTTTCACATTTATCAATTTACTTAATCAAAAAATAATACAACCAAGAAAAAAGAAAATATTATTAGGGCTAATTATTCAATGAACGGATAAAAGCTTTTCATACACTAAATTCAACGTAAATAGAAAAAAAAATATTTTCATTAATATAATAGTCATTCAATCGTTTTTTGTGTACTTCAAAAGTGACATTTTTATATTAATTTTGTTTCTAATTAAATGACATAATAAAACTTATATAATTACTTTTATCAAAAGACGGAATAAGTAGCTCTAAATAGGTATAATAAATCTTCATTTCATTGCATCTTTCTTCGTAAATGAAAAATTAATTCGTCGATTTAACTTGCAAAATTGGTTTTACAAAAAACTCTTTGATTTTGATGGAATAATATACATTCTAACTCATACTGAAGGTCAACTGTATTTGGTATTTTGTGTAAGAATATTTAAAATAAAATTAGTAATTTCGTAGATTCAAGCATTCTACATCTTTTACAGACTTTACCTCTTTATAATATTAGTGTAGATAATTGATTAGCATTTAATAAAAAACTGCAATTAGTATAATATAATGTATATAAGGTAACTAAAGGAGCGTAAAGCTTTAAAATACCTATGGTATTTTAAAGCTTTACGCTACATTAATAAAATACCATATGAAATATACTAGTATCCAAAGCGAACGAAATCTAATAATTTTATAAATAAAATCTATGAATACATACTAATGAATATGAAAAATAAGATCACTCAGTTATACTATGCATTAAAAAGTTTGTAGAATAATATTCTTATTCAAGGCATTCCTTCGATGAAAAATTATTAAAAATATCGTTGGCAGACTTCACATATCTTTGGAAAGCTTGCTAGGTTCTCTCTGACATGCAGTTTTCCTCGCGATGTTTTCCTAAGAAATGATTTCCTGTAAGAAATGATCCTCTGATATATTAATAGTAAGGTATAATGTATTCAGCCCTTTTTTAACGTCCCACTGCAGCTGGGCACGGGCCTCCCTTCAGTACGAGGGGAATCAGGCCACCACGCTGGCCAAGTGCAGGTTGGCGGACTTCACATGTCTTTTGAAAACTTGCTATAACTCGCGTCATCTAAAAAGAACGCTGGCTGTAAAGTTGCGCATTAGCGATTTATCGGTCAAATTGGTGGTAAGAAGTGGGGCGCGGGGCGGCTCGGGGCGGCGGGGCACGCGCCGCATGCTTGCCGGCGCGCTATTGGTTCGTCAGTTAGGTTCTCTCAGACATGCAGGTTTCCTCACGATGTTGATTGACACTTTCAATATCCACCATTGAAATAAATTAAGCCTTTATTCTTGTATCCATTATCGTGCAAATGTGTTTTGTTTCGCAGGATAAAAGTAATTTATGTTCTACTCTAAAAACTCTCCACCAATGAAAATCTATCCGGCAAGTGGGTACCAGAAGATAAATAATAAAATATAACGATCGTCCTCGTTTAATTTTGAAATCACAGATACTTAATACAATTTTCTTTTTTATGGAAATATATTACCATAGATTATGATATGTTCGTTAAGTATATATTAATGTGGACCTTAATATTATATAGTACGTGCTGTTGTAATATATTTTTATTACTAATTTACTTATATTATATATATATATATATATATTATATTATATGTAAATGACATGTACTTTCAAGATTTCTTAATCTGCTTAAGAGATTTTAACAAAATAACTGCTATTTTACCGACTTAAATATATATATATATATACAGTTTTAAACTAATGTAGTCTTTATCGAACATCTTTATATATATAATTCTTCTGTGAGTGTGTATGT